GTGTGTGTGTGTGTGTGTGTGTGTGTGTGTGTGTGTGTGTGTGTGTGTGTGTGAGAGAGAGAGAGAACGCACTGTGCCACTGGTCGGTTGTCATCAGCCTTTTTTTCTTTTTTTTCTTGTTCTTCTTTTCCTGTTTTCCTCCCCATTTTTTTTCCCTTGCAGGTCCATTGAGTGCCAGCGGCCGCCCCCCGACTCCCATGACCTTTTCTCCGGAGCGCACCCCCCTCTCTGACCCCCTACGCACCCAACCGCGGAATTGAACTCGGGGTGCACACGCATTCTTTGAACGCACGTTCAATCCGTTCAGCGTTCAAAGAACGTGCGGTTTCATAGCTCTGTGCACACCTGGACAGATGAACCCCCTTACCCTCCCTTTTACCCCCTGTCCACCCCCATCTCTCCCTCAGCTGACCTGTTCCTCACAACTCCCTCTCCGTCTCCTGATGGCTCATTTGTGGACAAGATTTCAAGTTGCAACTTCCAAGCACATGCAAAAACACAGCACAGAATTAACCAACCACATTTTCGTACACAAACTACAACCAAGGGCATTTCATAGACCAACTTGATTCGATTCCCAAAAAAGCCCCAGCCAGCAAAGGCGGCGAAGGCGGCCAGCCATGCCATCACCAGTGTCCCATGGCCACAACAACACTCGGAACAGTCTCTCTTAAACCACCAGTACTACCTAGAGTCGTGCCCGTTAACGTGCCGCGATTTTAGGAATGTACGGGCCACTACAGGAGCGCCCAAATTCATCCGACTAGAAACGTTTCCACTCCTTTTTTTCCGCGGCCGATAGCTGGGCCAAGTACTGGTGGTGGTTTAAAACCTCTGCTCTGTCTCCTCAACTCTCCTGAGTCCTGACTGCTCCTCTTCTCCTCTGTTCCCTGGCCTCTCTTCCAGACAAACCAGGAGCCAGAAATCATCTCCATAACTGCCTGGTTTACTGCCCCCTTCAGACTCCTATCCTGTAAACCTTGGTTTTTACCCACAGTAAACCGTGGTTTACCATCCAGTAAACCATAGTTTACTGGCGCCGCACCAAGGACAGAATGGTTTAACCGTCCACTGGACCACCATTGTTCTGCACCCAGTCGCACCAATGTTGGTTTGCAGACATGGGACTCTAACTAGCTATGGAACCCTACTTCTGTACAATCGACCGACATCAAAACTGCCGCGATCCAACAACACAGACTAGAGAAAAGCACCACGCATCATGGTATAGCGACTTCTGCGCACGAGCAACTCCTGTCATCGACTTTGAAGATCGAAGCAAGTCTGTCCTCCTTGACACTCGAACACTAATTTGAAAGTTATGTCTCTCTCATCGCGATTCCTACAAAGTCTGACCCATCAAAACGATCATGCCATTGAATTTGTGATTGCTCCTCCTCCGGCGGAGGATCGAATCGCAAGGCGCTGGGCAAAGTTCCGATCCTGGGCAGAGCAGAGTACAATGCCACAGTCGCGGTCGTGCATGAGACTACCCAAAAGAACATGCCAGAAGATATGCACTGGCCAAAGTCACAATTCTGGGTATAGTACAATGCCACAGTCGTGGGCATGCATGAGACTACCCAAAAAAACATGCCACAGGGATATGCCTGACTGATAACTGATGATGGCCCCCTACAGTCCCCTTAGATAGGGATTACCTTTTGCTGCAAAAAAGCATCCACAGGAGACGGTCTCCAAGTCCCAAGTTCGACGCCCAATACATATTCTGACATTACAACAAGGAACTGGAGATGGAAGTTCCAAGTTCCATGTCCCAAGTTCCAAGAGATGGTTCCAAGTTCCAAGTTCCAAGTCCCAAGTTCCAAAGTTCCAAGAGATGGTTCCAAGTTCCAAAGTTCCAAGAGATGGTTCCAAGTTCCAAGTTCCAACGGAACTCCTTCCAATGGGACATACGTTACACAAGGTCACCCATCCATCCGCTTTGTGCAATGGCAACGAGCACGGGCACACACTTGTCATCCAAACTCTTCCCGCCGATGCGGCCTTCATCACCTTTGTTCACTTTAAAATATCAGGAGGGAAATCTTCCCACCCCGCTCCTCCCTCCCCGCCCACCCACCTCCCACCCCTCACCTCTCAAACGTAAAATTGCGCAGAGGATTGAAAAGAAAAGACAACTCACTCCTTCCGAAAGGAATTCAATTCACTGGTGGACTTCTTAAACACAGTGCTGTCGAGCAGGATCTGCATCCTCTTTGATCCAAAGGTCCTGGGATCGGAATTTCAACCTCTGTCTGTGCATTTCAAACATGAAGCTTCTCTCCGTGTCAAAGTCGGCAAGATGATGGACCTTCTTCGAGGACAGCACAGAGGACAGATTCCATCAAGACGCGAAGCAGGCGCCACACACACACTTCACTGCGTCCGCCGTCCGGACATCCCACAAGAGAGACCTACAAAACAATTCACACATGCAACTTCTCCCACGTTCGCAAGGAACATGGAAATATTCCTGCCTCAAGGGCGATCGCCCAACCCGCTTTTCCTTGCACAACTCCAACAAGGGAACCACGGACAGCGATGCGATAACTTCCGGTTTTCACCCAACCCACTTTTCCTTGGCAGTCGCCCCAAGGTCGCCTTGCACACTTTTCACACATGGGAAAAAACTGCTTCTGGGATCAAACAGAAGGCAGCAACCTGAGACGTAAATGAGCATCCCTCCCCTCCCCCCCCGCCCCCCCCACACACAGACACACCCCTCACTCCCTGTGTGATCATCTCCCAAACTTGGTGGTTGACCTGACAGCAAGCTTGTGCGAGATGAAACTATTCGCCGACCAATAGGCGCTCTTCTAAGGATTCCACTTCAGCTTGGGAGCAAGCTCTTGGACACCATCTACTCCTCCTCCTCCTCTCCCCCGTCTACTCCTCCTCTCCCCTAACCTAGCCTGGGTATGAACACACCAAGACATTGGATTTCCGGCAGAAGCACTGACATTTCTCAGCTTCCTCCTGTGACAGCATACGGCACACCGTAAAACTAAGGAGGGATAAGATCAGAAGAGCGACTGCGCTGCAATTCTCCATACGTGGTAGAAGGATCCATAGCGCAAAGAGAAGATTCCGAATTTCCAATTTGGAAATCGTTCAATGGGAATATATTTCCATCTTTCCGGATTGGCTTCGAAAACTGAGTCATGCAAGCAACCCTGCTTTCTTTCACATGAGTTCACACAACCTCTCAGCCCTCTGCAAAGAAGACAATCTGAATGACGCCCTTATGACCGCATCGGGTGGCCAATGTACTTCTATAAACGTCTTCCTGAACAGGCAAACCTTATGGATCTCGTCTTAGTCGTGTTTCTTGAAAACCCAATTCAGAGTGGGTGAACAGTCAGAGAAGACCAACCTCGAGGGGCCACGATGCGATCAGAGAACAGCAATTAACAAAAAACAAAAGCTGACCGAACTGCAGGACAGGAGCCAATGCTCAAAACTATACTGTCCGATTCTCCAAGCCGCTTCATGCCCTTCATCTGCCTGACTAGCAACTCTTGAGACGTTCCTTTGGAGCCCTTCGTCAGCAATTGAACCCAGTTTGAAGACCAGATTCGCTATGAACCTCGCTGCAACTCTCTCTCTCTCTCTCTCTCTCTCTCTCTCTCTCTCTCTCTCTCTCTCTCTCTCTCTCTCTCT